TTGTTAAAATCATGAACTCAACCTTAAACTTAGAAACTATAGCTAACTTATTATTATGGAACCGGGTATCAGTTTGTTGGTTGAGTTTCTACTGAAGTCTGCTTACAACTTTAAAAACTCGCTTTTCAAAAACCAATCAAGGAAAAACTGGTAGATATCTAGAGTTTCTAGAGGATAAAAAAACTCATCAAATTACCTGAAAATCGCGTGATTTATCATTTCAGAAAAAGGACAATGAAGTGTTTATTTTCAAATAGATCTTACAAAATGTTTACGGGGAAACACGGGATACAATGAGCAGCTTGCATACAACTGGACGATTTGGACTATGTAGACGACTTAACTCTTCTATCCCATACATATCGATAAATGCAGGTCAAGACAAGCAGTGTAACAACAGTCTCTGCATGAGTAGGCTCCAACATAGACAAAAGAGGAAGCAAAATCTTCAAATAAAATGCAGGAAACACCAACACAATCACACTTGATGCAGAAGCTCTGGAAGAGGTGGAGTCTTTCACACACCTGGAAAGCACCATCGATGAACAAGGAGGATCTGATGCAGGCAAGGTAAGGATCTGCAAAGTAAGGGCAACATTTCTACAATTGAAGAACATATGGAACTCAAAACAACTTTCAACCAACACTAAAGTTACAATGTTCAATACGAACATCAAGGGAGCTGAAACTTCGAGAACTATCACAACTGTCATCAAAAATGTACAATTACTTACAAACAATTGTTTACACAACATACTCTACGTCCGTTGTCCGGATACCATCAGCAACAGTCTACTGTGGAAGACAACAAACCAGCTTCCAAATGAAGAGTAAATTAGTAAAATACGTTGGAAATGGATAGGACATATATTTCGGAAATCATCAAACTACATCACGAGGCAGGCACTAACTTGGAATCCTGAAGGGAAACGGAAAAGAGAAAGATCAAACAACACACTGCATCGGGAATAGCGAGTAGACATGAAAAGGACGAGTAGCAACTAGAAACGATTGCTCAAGACAGAGTTGAACGGGAAATCCTGTTGTGCGGCCTATACACCTACACGAGGGGTAACAGGCTTTAAGTAAGTGAGGGGTTATTTGAAAAATTCTCTAGTAAACAAATTTCCTTCAGATTCAAACAAACTATTGGGTGCACTCATGCTTTGAGGATAATCAGAAAAAAATAAAACTTGACTTTTAAGAAGCAAGCTAGAATTGAATAGGGTTTTGAATCCAAGGTCTACATATTTATTTATCGTTGAATGCTTAAATACCTTTGCATTTATTGAAAGTCGAAATTCATGGCACTACTTTACATTTGGATTCGCTCTGTAATTGTGTGTTTATTAAGATCACCACAAAAAGTTACTATCCTCAAAAGTTCAGTTCCACGTATACACCTAAGCTGTTGAAAACTAGTGTATCAGTTGGGGTGAAGTTTTGATTACTAGAAGTTGGAGAGATATTTGCCATCATAAATTACCGTCTTCACTTCACAATGTGAGTTATGGTGTAAACTTCTGTAAAACAGTACTATATCATCGAATAGTGATGATTCATTAACGCGATTATTGTGTTGTGTGGTCCATTTTTCAGTCATTCCATTGTACCTAGCTTTCCTGTCTGAAATGATTATGCTGACGCAGTATGCATTATGAACTGGGATATACTTCAAAAAAGAAAATATAAAAACTAACTTTTCAATCGTTCATCGTTATGCAACCTAGGTCCTTGCGCAATCGATTTTAAGGTCCTTGAGAAGCACCGTAAATACGTAACAGTCCCAAGAAAAAACCTAACGTTATTTTTCTCAAATGATAACAAACATAAAATGATAAACTACTCAGATTATATAACTGCTCACTGAAATTATTAACCTTGAATTCATTAAACGTCATTGAAATAGAAAGCACTAATTAAACGCACAACAAAATTTTGTTGGTTATGATTGAGATCTCAGTTGATAATCAATCGACCAGAGATAAATTAGAACTTAGTGGAAGGTCTGCCAGTCTTAAACTACCAAGTTTAAAGCTAAATCCCTTGTTTATATTCTACAGTGATAAAGAGATGAGGTTCATATAGATGGTTTTGGTAGTGTTTTGTTCCCTATGCTATATGATTTAATCAAGACATTCATTGTCATTAAGGAAGATATCACCAGTGTACTCACTCCTAAATGAAATAGGGGGATTTTTAGTATTCCGTGATTTTCAATGATTGTTCATTTTAAATCAGCTCGTGATATGAACTACAAATCGGACAATCTTCTGAAACCTCCAATACTAATGAAGTGTTAAATCAAATTATTCTTGTCATTAATCAAACTTCTTCTGTCTACTCTGGTATATATTAACAATAACTCACCCACAATTATAAATATCATTGCTATTTAAGTATAAGAGGAACAATTTTTCATAACACTTTTATCAATAGTAAAAAAGTAGTGTATTTTGTTTTTACTTTTGTCATGAGTAACTCTGATAATTAATACCTTATTTGATAACTGTCAGTTGCCATCTACGAGGTTCTAAACATATTAGTAAAAGTAACGGTTTGAAATATGATAGAATCGCTTATACGTATTATGGTCAAATGTATTCAGATACAATGATATTGGTTCAATGATTCAGCAACGGGCACAGCATTTTTAATTAAATCAAACTAACGAACGGTTATTAAAGATCTTCAAATGTTATTTGAAAAATGTAGCTGGTATTATTATCAAACTGGATGAGGTTACCTACATTATTTGTGATGTCTAATAATTGTATTTTGTCTACGTTCAATCATTACGCCTTTTATTGAGCGAGTGCTACATGTTGAGTGTAATTTCATTTCAATCATCTAAATTTATCGGCAACTGCTTGTAATGAACAGATTAGGGTTGGATAAGGAATGTTTATTAAAAATCAATATCCAGCATTCACCAAATAAACGAAACCATTTCTAGATGTTTCTGGCTGGATAAACTAACAAGTAGGCTTACTCACTTTACGGACAAAAACAAATTTAAAGACTAAAATCTTTGCCAAATTAAATGAACAATTTATATCTCTGAAACAGCATAACCATCAATATTAGATAGGCCCACTGGAGAAAAATCACAGTACAATTTGGAATCATTTTTTTTGAAAACACAACATTCACAATTTTATAATTCCATGCCGGTGAGATTTAATAGGTAATTAGTGTTTATCATGTTTAAGACTCATAAAATGTAAAACTACTTTCTGAGCAATATGGTTTATCAACAGTAAAATTAAATTATGAACTTCACTTATGAATAATACCCAGATGAACTGGCTGAAAGTTAAAAACCAGATTTGCAGTCAAGATATGACTTCTTGTGTCGACAAGGTACATTTTAATTAATCACTTGATCAAAATGATTGTTCGTGCAAAACACTCAAAAAAAGTTACTTTTATGAACATACTATTTAAGTAGTAAAAATATATAAACCATAAATTAATCGAAGGGACGACTCTTTCGACTGACTCGCGCAATTAGACCATACGTTTTGCAGCTGGTAGTCAGTCAGCTACAACGTTAGACAAGGCACATATATGCATCAGTCCAAGTTGCCACACCTCACAAGCGCAACAAGATGAACACCGAATTCATAGAAGCAGTTACTTCAATGATAGAAAGCCCAAAACAAATCAGATAATTATGGTAAGCAGAGATGGATAGTGGCTAGCAGTGGAATCCAGGACGCGCGTTTCGTCCTATTTGGGACTCGTCAGCTGGATGTACCTGCATCTCAGAGTTGCTGTTCACTCTGGGACTGACCAGTTGCAGTCCTAACAAATCGATGGGAAGATTCAAACAAACAATACTGAATGAATTTAAATCAGATAATTTTAAGTTAATTAAGATTATTTATACAGTCAACAGTAATTTGTGAATTTACATAGCGTAATTCAAGTCTTAAATCTTTGTTTAAACAATAAATTGGAACAGGTTGTTGGGATACTATATAATAATTAGGTCTTTTTCTAAACAAGCGATCAACTACATAGACCATTTATATGGAATACAATTTTCAAGGTTAGAACGTTGTGTAATGCTAATGAAAACGAAATAATTAGTCGATACACCAGTTTCTAACACTAACTAATTGAGTTTAAGAGATGGAAAACGTAAATTACACTACCTGAGTTATTTTCTGAGTGCAATTTTGGGAAAGTTGTCTTAGGCACAACCAAGATGAAGAGAGTGTATACAGGCATTTTACAGATGCATGGGATAGCCTGAACTTCTACGGTAGATTCTTAGGTATTAGATGGGCACCTTCAGAAACTAGTTTTGTATCAATCTTTTGTTTAGTATCGACTAAACGTATAAGAATTAAGTTTCTTTTTGCTTTGCTCTTACTGAACCATTATCATGACACGAAAATGAATGAATACCAGCTTTTTGAGTCAACACCTAAGATTATATTTATAAAGAACAACTTTTACTTGTCAATAAAGTTAACCAGTAACCTGTTAAATAGTTGATGGTAGACGGGACAACTACATAAGCAATGTTTTATTTTTTTACCATTTGCAATCAAACCCAAAAAAACGCTGTTTGGTTTAATAATTAATAACAGACTAATACAACTAACCACAAAGAGAACAGAAGAATAAGAAAATACAAACACATTGGATTTCCATGCAGTGATAAACTTTCTACTAAAAACCTCATTTAAGTAGTACAGCAAAAACACTACCAAATAGAAACTTCAAGAAATCTAAATAAGGGTTGAGGGAATCGTAAAGAAGGAAGGGATGTACATGAAGTCACATCGGTTAAGCTTACAAAACTCCTAGGATTAACCCAGAATCCAAAAAATAGATATTGACCAGGCGAATTAAACAGGAAACTCAAGCACATTGTTGATTAGAGACGATACTCAGTCAGCTCACCTTTGTTCTTGAATAACTTGAAGCCTATAAAGATAGGAGAAACCAAAATAATGGTTCCCTTCAACCTAAATCTAGACAGGTAAATAGTACATAACGATAAAAACAAAAACGGAAACTGCGGAATTGAACTTAGTGCATTTAGTTGACCGTTATTCTACAATCAAACTGTAATTTAATGGCAACGTTTATAAGCACGTTAGAAAGCCTTCAACCGTAATATTTCACATCAGAACCGGCATAGTATACTGAAATTATGGATAATAGTAGTATCCGGAATGTCTAGCTTGAAATTTGAAGTCCACGTCACAGATAAAATTGTACCCGAAGTCGCCAAAAAAACTCCGTGACAACTCAATTTGTAATCTAAGATGACGAAAATTCTACTCTTAGATTTTGTTCTCACCAGAACACGTGATGGTAACTTATAGTGAAAAATTGCAAACAACCACTACATACCACGTAACGAAAGCGACCATTTTGTATTAGGTAAGAATAGCTGTGTAAAAACACTGTTCTACAAGTTTCAGGACGCTGTCTCAGATAACGTTGAAATCTAGTGAACACCTAATCAACAACATTGAAACCTACCGACCAAGGATATTCCTGAATCGATGAACTAATGTGACGAGATCATAAACACAAACTGATGAACAATAGACACACTATAACTCCATAACGAATTTTGATGTAACAGTGAGAAAATGTAACTTACTATTAGTGAACAAGATAGGAAACGAATGCATCTGCACCACTACAACTTATTTCCAAACAATGGCTTCAATAGCATATCGTGAATATCACTTCGGGAGCTTGCTGTCCGACATATAAACCATATTATCAAAGATATCTTGTTTTTGTGACATCTCGCGCTGATTACATCAAACGTTTAATACCTTGCTTTTACTCTTGTTGGATCATCAGGTTAAAGCGAGCAATAGCTTGGAGTCCAACTATCCTACTGAGATTTGCCCTGGCATTTTTATTTCTCGATGATAATGGGACACAACAGCTTGGATCCATGTAAACAAGAGCCAGGTTCTACATTGCATATGACTGACTGACCCTAACCATAAGAAAAGTGTACTGAAATATAGAAAAATGAATATAATGACAACCCCTGTGAGAACTGTACAGATCTTATGACCAGATTTAGCAACCAAACAGACTGATAGCTTCATATTTTCCGACTACCGTTTTACAAAAGTTCGCAATACGATAAATGGCGTTTTTACATTTCAACTCTTCCTTTAAAAAATGTCACTCATTATTATTCTATATTGTTCCAAATGGAAAATTTATACAAGCTCATCAAGTGTCACATTTGCAATAGTGGAAGTATAAAGTAAGCAGCAACAAATTACAGAGCAAATATACTGACCTAATGAAGTCGAATTGTTCCGAATTATATGGTGATACTTGACAAATTGTAATTTAAAAAATTACCCCGGGTAGGAAACTATAGATCCATAAATGATTTCAAAAATGAAAAATTTAAGCACATAAGGTTATATTTATATAAAAACAAGAGGATTTCCAAATCCCCTTGAGGATCATTCCTGTACAACGTTATGAGATGTTATTGCTGGTAAAATCAATAATATCAGGATCTAGCCATACCAGTAAATGAAAATGTTGGTCGAATGCGTTTTGATAAAGCTTTTTCTGTTTCCTGTTTGCGTTTGGCTTGAATTTCCTGAATAAATAAAAGTTGGAAAAAGCCCAGAATAACATGAGGGTTATTTAAAAAGACAAACAGTCACCGAAGGAGCCATCAAAAACTTACTGAGTACTTTCTTATACGACGGTTACTAGCGTACGGTTACATAGGTTTCATTGGTCAATATTTACGAAATCACAAAACAACTCATTCACATACTACCAATATAAGTCAGAAAGTGGTTTTGCCATGATCGCTTCAATTTTCATTCTCATAAATCATACTCACAACTATCCGGTAACATTCATTCTTATTTTATATTCCGTCATTAGTCTATTCTCTTTCACTAGCTTTCTGTGTAATCCTTTGTTTTTCAACTCACAAAAGCTCGCCTATGGTGGAAATCCTGCCCTATATAAACGATCTCAAGTCACTGGGTTTAAACGCAGTCACACATGGGTCGGAAGAGATGCCAATGGCGGTCCTGTTGTGATTTTTTACTTTCTTCATATGAGTGAGAGGAACTTCTTTAACTGAAAGAATCTATCCTGAACTGCTTCTCGAATCACTATTACCATTTTTTCACACTCTTACACGCTGGTTTTTACTTATTTTTGTTCTTTTTTATCATACTAATCTTTTATCTATCTCTTCACAATCTGACTTTTGTGTGGCGCATATATATTTTGGTGCCCCTTTGTACCAATGTTCATGTTTAAATAAATAATATATAATGATCCTCTCGCTAACTACAGAAAAGGTGTAATAGACAGTTCGCTAAACTAAGATAGTGTTGGGGATGCTAGATTCCCAGAAGTCACTTGATAAGCGTCTTAATTTTGTAGTTTTATTTTGGAAATTTGAATTTCTCATTTTCCAGCCAAGAGCGTCCATTTTTACCTTCAGACTGTACTTCCCACTTGGAAAGACACTAAATGTCATTGGTTCGTTGTCGCTTTTAAGACGCTATTTTGTGACGTTTCCTAGGGACCTTTTCATTTCGTATATATATATATATATATATATATATATATATATATATATATATGCTTGAGTTGTGTGCTTGGTTCCTTAGTGCTTCTGGCTGTTTGTGGAATGTACCTTTCCCTCATCTGAACCTAGTTTTCTCCCTCTGGTTATCAGAGCTGAGACGCATAGAAATATTTTTGTTTGTCTTGTCTTTGTGCTGCTAATCCGTCGTTTCGTCCGCCGATTTTAGGTGATCTCGTAATCTCCTCAAACGTACCATATAGCTTTATGTTTTGAAGATAAGTATGGAGTTGAGTGCTTAGGTCGAAAACATAGTCACATAAAAGGGTCACATAGGCGAGACCAACATATTAGAAATAAGGTGGGCAGATCGCAACCTATTTCTAAGAAGAACAAACCTCAAAAAAAGTAGCCACCAACAAACTATTTATCACCTGTATCTAGAACTTACTTTGAGTGGTCAGCCATTGGAAACAGTCAAGATAATCGTAAATCTACGTTGATGGTGGTGTAATAAAAGAAATCTATTATATAACAGGACAGCGTGATATATCCCACTCTTAAACACTTTTGCTGTTTCTCAATGTCGGTATGAATGAGAAATGTCGGAGATACAACGCCATGTGGATAGTTCAAAATTATAGCTAAAAAACCTGGCTTCGTTTGAAACAAATACTTTGTAAATTATTTTTTGGCTGTAGTTTGTCTGTCAACACTACAAAATTATGCATGGTTTCAAACAAATAAATTTAAGTTCAAAATAGACTTACCATAAGTTCTTCATGCTTTTCACGGAAGAAGGCTAAAGGGTCATCAAACTCTCTATAGTAATCTAGCACAAGGCGAACATCATCGACACTCCCCATTGCAATCACTAGAAAATTATAAATAATTAAGAACAGAGGAACATATGATAAGGGTAGTTGACGAGCATTTGAAGATGCAACAACTAGAGGTGAAAGGAGCGCTAATTTTTACTAGGTTTCAGAACAAAATTTTTAAATAGTTACTGAATACGAGATTAATTGATAGTGGTTGACTAGTCATCATGAGTTTGTCTTGTAACTTCAACCTGGGAATTAAGAAAGTCCCATTCCTAACCTCCCGGTACCGATAGTTTTGTACATGAAAAACTAATAGAAATTGAAATAGAACACATACTACTAAAAATAGATATCAGCATACCATTCTGTACAAAAATAAGACAATTATGAAGGATAATTTTAGATGCGTCATGATCATGTCTATTTTGGGGTTGCTAAAATGAACGAATTTAACTTTGACCAATCTATGAAGAGCAACGATAAAATGTCGTCGACCCGATGGAGTAAACGTGTAATGAATTAACATTAAAGACACGACTAGTCAGCTGGACAGATTTTTTCGCAGTTAAACAACACACTTATAGACAAAATACAGTTTTATGAGATTGGAGATTATCGTAGGAAGAGAACTGACCATCTTAATGGGGACCCTGAACGCTAATGTTGATATAGGCAACGCGGGATATGAAAATAGCATAGGGCGATGTGGACTGGGAGAAGGAAACAACAAGTGAGAAACTGGCAAATCTATGTACTCTCAACAACATCTTTATGAGCGGAACCATTTTCTGCTGAGTATAATTTATGGACGACCTTTGAGCAACGCCTTAGTGACCTAGAGAATGTCCACCTACTTACTACCGTTAAATGAGGGTTATATAGCAGTTTGAAGAGTAAGGATTATGATTTACAGTTGATGGTTAGGGTTAGGAATTAGATGTATGGTTTTCATCACGAAGTGACATCAGTTAAAATGCCACAACGCTATTTAGACGAATAGGTGAATGAATTCCGCGCTAAAAACCAAGACCAGTTACCCCGAATCTAATTGGTTCCGTCCATCAATTATAGTCTCGCCCATTTTCCTTTGCAAACGCATACTTAAAGCTATATGTCTTTCAGCTGATAACACTAAATATCAATCATATCTGAATTAATAAAAACTCTAGAAGGTCCATGAAGGACTTGAGAACAAAGTGAGGGGCTAATATTGATTTAGATCACCACTCAGCGATTGCTAAGTTGAAACTGAAGTTAAGAAGCACTGGACAACTGGAGAGGCAGCATTAAAAAGTCTAATGCAGCCTTACTACAACCATCCAACATACCTGGGTAGTACCACTGATAAACAAGGGAGTCTAATGCAGATGTGAAGGCATGGATCGGCAAAGCAAAGGCATTATTCCTACAATTGAAGAACATATGGGACTCAAGACAGCTTGACTAAAACCGTTAGAATTTTCAATACTAACACTAAGACAGTTCTATTGTGTGGAGCTGAAACTTGGAGAACTACAACCATCATAAAAACGTACGGGTAGTTAAGAACAGATGTCTACACCAGATATTCCAGATTCATCTACCAGACACTATTAGCAACAACCTATTGTGTCAGAGAACAAACCAGCTTTCAGGTGAGGAAATTAGAAAAAGGCGCTGAATGTGAACAGGTTACACTTCACGGAAATCATCAAACTGCATCACAAAGCAAGACCTAACTTGAAATGCTCGGAGAAAACATATGAGATAATCCAAAGCACATACTAGGCCGAAAATCGGGCGCGGACATCAAAAGAATGGGTAGCATTTGGTATTTGGAAAGGAGAGCCCAGGACGTAGTTGGTTGGAAATCCTTGTTTGGGGATCTATGCCCCACGAGAGGTAACAAACGTAAGTATCCAGAAGATAAGAAACGGGGATGTAACTCATACCAGTTTGTTACTTATAAATGGAATCAAGGCCTGACTATCAACACCAATTATTTTATTTATTTGAACACAGAAATATTGGTACAAAGGGGCACCAGATATATATGCACCACACAAATCTTATCAACGTCAATACTTCCTCATATCAAAAAGTTACTGATGTTTCAAAAATCTCTATTTCGCTAAGGGCTGTACTTACTTCTTAGGAAGGCAGCCAAGTCTATCAATTCTCTATCTGACTCATCGCCATTCCAACGTTTTATAATCAGTGAATTGCGTGGTTGCAACTGAGCTGCAGCAGGATCCCAATCAACGAACACCACACGGGAGAGATCTCTATTAAGACATGACAAATCCTTGATATGTTTTCCTCCTTTATAGCGAGTTGCTTCGCGAAACAGCCGGAAGTGAATAAACTGTCCTTGAGGATCCATCTGAGCCAAGACAGGACCTCCAATCTTCGAAACAGTGAAATTACTTACAATGAATAATACTGAAAAGATTTCGTCAGAGCATATTCACGCAGTAACCAGTTACAAACAAAACCAAACGACTAATAAACAATAATATATTTGTAATATTCCAATTAGTAGAAAAATTAAATCTTCAAATTTTCTGACGCTTCGTGACTCATTGTACGCTACTTTTTCAGAGAACAATTAAGTTAAATTAACCCAAGTTGAAAAAGAACAAAGCAAGAATATTTGGTGCGATCAATCAAAAACAGGTTTGACCAACTCATATCATTCCGGCCAAGGTGATTTATGTGCGGCATGTTTGCTTATGTATGTTAAGGAATGAAGCATTTTTAAACAGGACGTTATTTATCGTTAACGCATAATCCTCGAGCGTGAAATATGCCAAATACAATGCAAGTACACATCGCTTTGTCTTTCGGACTTGGTAAGAGCTAAAGATTAAACTGTTGTACACTAATTGGTACCCAATCACTTTAAATGTTGTTATCAACCCTCACATTCCCATCCGGTAAAATATTCATCCAAATCACCATAGAAAATACCACCCATATGTTTGTTCTTTAAAAATTTTATTCATACCGTCAGAAGATTTACTTATTACACTCCTATACAAGTCTCATGTAACATGAAAAGACTAGTTTCCTCGCGACTATCGGTGTCATTAAAAACTGAACGCAAAGAGGAAAGAACATAAGCTTACGGTCTACGTTGACTGGTACATATTGCAGGTTACTGATACCAGCAATGCAAAAGGTGCACCTATTTACCCCGCCAAACTAACACTTCAAAAAATGTTTTAAGCTTACCATTACTGATTCATTTGTATAGACAACAACCTCATAGTGAGGAGATAGCTGTTGCAAAAACAAATCTAACGCCGCCCTTTTCTTAAAGCGCCAACCTGAGCGGAACTGCCATTCTAAACCAAACTATGGATAACACGTTACCTTCCAATCAGGATGAACAAGCACATCGGTCATCTCCAGAACAAGAGTATATGGTGGTTGGTAATATGGAGGTTGTACTGGATCTGGAAGGAGTTTCTCACTAACAGGATCCTTTATGCTCTACAGACACTGAGTATGTGCTCTGAGTACTTACTTGGTTGAATTCAAGCATAGAACTAAACGTTCGACAAAGGTAACCCCAGATAATTGGTTCTGCGGACTATTAGGTACGTATTTGTCGCTTACTTCGACTAAAATTGTCTTCAATCTAATCGGAATATTTAGGAATTATCCACTTACTTCGACTCCGTTATCATCCTTTTTCGGAGGACCTATTAAACATGAATAACGCACTATCTATCTTACCCCAAGTAGCCACGGCAAACCCAACCGCAAGCAAACCGGAACATGCCAAAGTAAAACAACCTATTTTCCATGCATTTTTCTCACTCCACCAAGACTGTTTAGATTTATCTTCTGGTGAATCATTTGAGCCTATGGAGTAATATGCACTATATTGCTTGAAATGAGTCCACCTATCACATCTGTTCAGGGCGAAACGTCGCGTTGCTGATAGGAGCATCAGTTGCGGATCACGTCCCCCACAGTTCGTATTCCCGCCAACTTTTGTTGTACTAGAAACAAACTGAATTACAAGGCGATGGTAAACTAATTGTCCACTGATATTTGTGACTAGACTTTATATATGGTTCTTGTGTGTGGAACGGAACTTTCCCTATTCGTTGTGGTTCCTAAGTAGTCGAATAGCGAAATATTGGTTCGACAGATGTGTAATCTCCATGGCATGTCCTCTGGAACCACTGATTCTAGAGCAGACTTCAGCCAACTTCGAAGCAACCGTTGTATGGGTGAGATTAAGTTCAGACTGGGACTTCCTTACTCATTTTCCCGAACTCTTGTCGGCGATTAAAAGGATGTTTCAGGTATTTGAGGAAAATTAAACTGCAACAAAATGTACAAGCGATTATTGGGGCTTTAATTCTTTGTTGTTTTCTGCCCGTTTGTTGTCCCAATCCGCCCACTTAAACTCTGATCTTTCGCAATAAATCAACTGTCTAAAGGTACATCGACTACAGAACCAAAATACATCCCAGGTAGTAGCAAATGAGTTCTGTACACTAATTCTTTCGAACTCACTGTCCTTTTTTGTGGTAGACTGTGTAGAGTCAATAAAATTTCACTGGACCCTAGCCAAATCATCTGGTGTCCGGGTCACTAAATACCGAACAGTTCACCGATCCTCTTCAAGGTCACCGACAAACAACACGCATCACTTATTTGCATGCCATGAACTTGCTATGTTGTAAAAGTCGCACTCTGTTCTTCGAACCTAGTCTTAATAATATATTTCCTTGATAACGTTATTTGTGTTGTACGGTCGTCAGAGTACCCACAGTACTAAACGGCAATCCATGTTAAGTAACAAGTGTGAGGTGTGACTTCGACGTTAGCTTGTTGGTCACATCATTCCCGTCTAACTCGAGGCGGCCCTCAATAGTTAGACACAGATCATCGAAACTGACGACTTGCAACTATATCCAGAGGCTTAAGACCAAAGTTTTTCCCTCCATTGTTAAGAGCCGCTATTCTTATATACTTGAACAAAGTAACCGTTAGCAAATTAATCCACCAACGATATGGAACACTGATAAGTCAAAACAAAGCATGCTACAAACAGTTTATTTGCACTTTTATAGATTAGGTAGTCAGATCATGACAAATCTACAATTTTAGGATTAGGTCTATTATTAGGTCAGTACTGATATCGAAGTAGAACATAATTCTACAGATACCCCGTATCATTCATAACTTGCAAGTATTGACCGGCTTGGGCCAAACCCTACTCGCATATCGACAACCTTCGAAATATATCTTTGAACCTATTCATTCTTAACTTCTTAATTGACTGGGTTCGTGTCCTTTGAATATGAGTGTTGCGAACAAAGGCTTTGTAAAACTCCGAATATTTGTGGTATCTCAAGTAAGTTGTCGAATAGGTATTTGATCACACCTGCTTATTTATACAAGCAGAAATATACATATCGCTCATTATGCCCTAGTAGTTTGGTTTAAATACAGCCAGTTTTAAACAAGTATAAATACGTGTGAGCAAGGGAGCCATAAAGTTTTTCAGTCATCCCACTGACAATATGGTTATACACGGCAGTGAAGTCCAGCCTAATCCCTGGTATTTCAGTCAGCTGATGAAATAACCCATCTCAAAATACGATCCTGTCTCCGTATTAAATAAACCTATACTTCCAAGTGGAATTCTTCAGGTCCACGTTGATTCTCACAACGGATGCATCTTTCAGTGAGAACTGCTACTAATCGTCTAATAACATCACCAGTGCTAGCTGTCGAATTCATTTTTCCATTTCATGGAAATTATGGGAAAACGTCCCTCCTTTCCCAATAACCATTCTACCGTCTTTCTTTGTATGTAGTGTTCCTTTTATCGATGTATTTGTTGAAGATTATTTCGCTCCATTTATTGTTCCTTTGCAATTGATGTCATATAGTCCACAGTATCTGAGTCATGAAAAACTTTTGGATGTAGTCTGAGGTTCATGACTATAGTTTTGCCTCTGTCTAATCCAGCATTTGAGACTATGGAGGTTCTCATATTGCTTAACATGCTCAAATTTATTCCGTTCGTTTTGGTTGACTGAATATAAAAATAAATGATTGACCCCCTAATTGTTTGCAAAGTTCGTTGTGTTAAACCGTTAACTTTTTGTTTTAAGCAATTAAGCTGGTGACACTTTTGCCTTTTCTAAGTTAGAACTTTATACCAGAAATGCTAAGGTTCTCTCTACTCTTTTTCCAGCACTTGTTGAATGTTTTCAATATACAATTGCTTACTGTTCCTGTTTGATCTTACATGTTTGTTTTTGTATCAGTGGACGTACCTTCTGGAAAATGTGTTATTCGAGCATTTCTATCCGTAACGACCAAAGTTCCAATATCTGGAGTAAACCATGAACTAACGAACCAGAGTTTATTCATTTACATCAGACTACACTTCTCAGTATAGCTTACGAATAGTTTCTAAGTACTTTGTACTAAATACTCACTAAAACACAAATTATGTGGTCAATTTAAACGGTTTTGAGTCAAGAAAGCAAGCGAATCGCACAAAAAGTACAAAACACCTCAAACGGTACTGCCTGTGCTATACAGTAAAAGGTCTCACTAGGAATGGTTGATAACCAAGTGTTTGATGTTACGGAGTGAACCAAATGTACTTGACAGATTGGTAACTAATACATTGGATATCCTCAAATTCACTATGTTTTGGAAATATTTGTTTTGCTCGAATTTCAACTATGTTTGCAGCCTCGACCTCGTATATTTCGGTTCCACACTGTTTGGTTTGGTATTTTGGAACTTTTATTGTTTAATTGTTTTTGTTGTGTAATTGTAATAATAATCAATAACAAACTAAATCCGGGCTGGTTACTTGTAATTTGCGAATAAAATTTGATACCTAGGGTGGAATTCGGCCCTTTTGTAACTTGTACCGTCAGCTAACAGTGGATCAATTAATCGGGCTACCACATCATGATGAGTTTTTTTATTTTTCTATTTATAATCTACGACGCTCAACATTGTCACACTGCATTTTATCAGAAAAACGTCCCGTTGATTCTAGTGGAAGACCAATATAGTTGTATCAATTCCTAGCCGTACGATCCTTGAAGTTAAACGTATAATAACCGAGCAGATTGACTTTCAACATATGCACTTGGGGAAGGTCAGAAATGGTTGATGCTGTAACACTTGATTGGTACGGCATGGCTCTACCATGTAGATGCGGTCATTATGCGTAACTTTGTGTTTCGTTCTCCTGAATATTATACTCCATCCACATCTTATGTATGCTCTTCAGAATGCCTTAACTACATATAGGACGAGTCGGTATAAGCAACGATGTGACTACGTCAGGCACGATAGATTAGACAGACAAATCATGAGAGATCCATAATTTGAGATTCGGTCAACTATTGGCTTCACCAACTGTTTCTAACGATATCAGCCAATATCACGATAACACATAAAATCTGGGAAAACACCTGAAAACTACTTTGGGGGAAAGTTGAAAAAGACAGCTGGGAGTAGGTTATAAGACATCGTGAGCAGTGAATAGCAGTTGGTAGCAACCTTCCGTCTAAAAGTCCATTTGAATTTGTGTATGGGGTGTTGAAATCTCCAACCGTATGACAACAATTGGCCTGGTTCTACGTGATCATTCCATGTAGAATCTTCAGGTTAAGTAAATCATTCTATCCTCAACCCAGATGTGTTCTTCAGAAGTCCTAAAAAGCATACTGCTAACCACCACATATGACGAGTCAGTATAGACGGTTATGTAACTTTCACCTAGGATCTTATGGACTTGGTACTCACATCGTAACAAGGTTAAGATTTCAGGACTAGGTCTAGCATACTAGTGGCATAGGCAAACGCACTTGTAACGATTAAGACTGTCGATTCTATACATTCAGAAGAGTTGAGTTACGTCCATTTAGGGGCTGAAGTCACAAATGAATGGGTGCGATTGTGTACTGGATAATTTTCGCCGTGTCGAGGTGTTCACGTTCTAACCTGACCAGTCGTCATGAGAGATACGCATTAAAACGTACCCATACCTGACCTCGGGCAAACGCATGGCCTAGAGCCTTCAGCATCGAGTGTGTTCAGTGAAACTAATGAAGAAAGTGTTTGTGCTGAGGGCTCACGTGAGTGTTTTCTCTGAAGGATTTCTTTGACGTTACGGTACACTCTTTCCCAGTTGGATAGCGAGGACTTTGGACCTACATATATCAGTGGGTAACAGTATCCACTTGGTTCTGCCAGGGATCCTGTCGAATCAAAGTGGATTTGACGACGAGATTCAGTAGATGCAAAAGAAACTACACGACATTATGTCTAGTCACTCTAAATTTTTCGACTGTGTTTTCACTCACGCCTTCATTTACTCATGGTCACGAAATCATTCTGATACGATCTTGATGATAGCTGGATGAGAACGTTTTTGAAACGTGCTGAATACGTTGCCACAATAATGTTTCGACATGATTGAACGGTCACTACCCGTAAGTGTGCCTCGAGACAAACAATCTCTATCAGCTCCCATTCTTTTGATATAGATGTTTAGGATATTACAGCCTGAAGACCAAAGTCTTCTTTTGAAGAAAGGTAAGTTTCAGATGATTGGTCCCGTGGAAGTTGTTCAAGGAACTTATACGAGACACAAGCACCTATAACCCAAATTATTTTCCCCAGAGATATGTTATAAACGTGACAGTGAAAAAGGCAAGCCCTCTCAAACTCATCCGCTCTTTCGTTCGAACGGCCCTGAGCGGCTTAGCATGGGGCGGCCATTCCGTATTTTAAATGCTGTCGGTTTGCTGGGTATCCGTTGGGCTGTACGGATTTTAAGTGTTCTCATATTTAAGTAGTTTTTGCAGCAGTAAAGTCCCGAAATTATTGCACAAAGCATTAATTTATCTTTGTCTCGTAGTTCGCACGTCAGTTCGATTATCGCTACGTAACTTGGTCTGAGATACCAATTACTTTGCTGAACCGCCCTGCTTTTGTTTCAAATTTGATAGGGTTTAAAAACTGCATATTAAATTGAACTTAACAGTTACAGATACACGGAGTTCGCATTAGTCGCCGTTTAATTCAAGAATTGAAAAGAAATGTTAAA